AGGCTGACATCTCCTCGTAGCACCGTTGTCTTCCCCTCCACCATAATCTCCATAGTCAAAGATTTCTCATCTTTATGATCGTTTGTAACCACTTCATCCCAAGGATCATGTTAGTGCTAAGGTAATAAAATCCTCCACTATATATATGACATGGAGTGTCAATACCAACCTCCTGCAAACCCCCCTACTCCTCTCTACCTTCGCTATCTCCATCATGACTCCAAAGCTCCCTGTATCCACAAACTTCAATCCCAATTGGTCCACGACCTGCTTTGAGATGAAGTTGTGAGTGGCCCCGCTATTCACCTAGACCACCATTGGTTGCTCCTTGATTTGTCCCCTCACCTTCATGGTGTGATTTTGAGTAAATCCCACCATTGAGTTAAAGGACACTTCTGCCACATCAAGGTGTAGGTGCTCTCCTCCCGTTTCTGCTTTCTCCTTCAACCTCTCTCTATCGGTCTCCTCCTTGCAAACCATAAGGATCTGGAGTGTGCGGTTCTTGCACCAATGTCTTGGTGTATACCTCTCATCACATCGGAAGCACAAAATCTTCGCTCTCTTGCCCTGTACTTTTACCTCTGGGGTGAACTCCCCCACTCTTCTCCCTCGGTGCCTCCCACTAAGATGACACCGTCTGGGTCCTCGGTGCCAGGAAGATCGAAGCACTCCTGTAGGAGCCTCCTGGGACTCTACTCCTACTGTTCCTCTCCATCTTTCTCCGATTCTCCGCTTTCTAGTCTAGCTACATTGTCTTCCTCAACCCCTTTAGCTTCAACAATCGGAGGTCTGCCTGCATGTTGGGCTTTATGCCCTTTATGAAATTTTTCTCCAACACCGCCTCTATAATGCCTCTTAACTGCTTCGACAATAACTCAAATATCTCCTTATAGTCTAGACGGTCTCCTCCGGAGTCAAGGCAAAGAATTGCTTGTGTAGGCCCCCTTCCCGAATGGCTCAAAAATGCTCCAACAAGTAATCTTTAAACTTCTTCCAAGAGCGGATCGGATATCCAACCTTCCTCCATTGGAACCAAGTTAGGGATTTCCTCTCCAGACATAGCCCCGAGACCATAAGCTTGTCTCCTTGGGCAACCCATTCACTACAAAATACCTCTCCAACTGGTACTCCCACCCATGACCATCCTCCTTTTCAAATATTGACATCTTCAACTTCCTCACCCTAACATCTCCACTCCAACTTCCTCTCCCTCCAACGGTTCCCCCCGTGCCTCGTGGTTGGGAATCCCACATTTCTTCCTTCCTCCTTGCATGACTCAATCCCTATGGCTTAGCTTGAACCCCCCCCCCCCTCTCTTCTTCCCAATCTTAAGTCGCCCATTCCTTTGGCTAAAATGCATACCATAGTGGTTGGCCACTATACCACCTCCACCACAAAATTTCCTCCTTGCTGTCCTCCCCATCCGGAAACCCTAAGAAACTCTCCTCATCGAACTCCTCTCGTCCGGTCTTCTTTCCCTTAGATTCGGCCAAGGAAATCCCGATTAAATATTTGTTAGGGTTAGTAATCGAATCCACTAGTGGAGTTTTGGATTGTACCTCCATGAGCTTTCTCATCATCTCCAATCCTCCAAATCAACTCTCCATCTGATTATCCATGGCTGAAAACTTCTCCTCAATCCCACATTTACTTCACTTTACCTTCTAAGGCATCCACTTTCTTTGCTGCCATCTCTCCAATACCTCATTCTCATACTAATTTGATGTGTCTTGAAAGTAAAAATAGTAAAATAGATTGAAGAAAAATACAGGAATACAAATATTGGGGTTGATTTTTTATTACTTCTTTAACACTAACAAAAGATACGATTGATCTAATCATCTACTATTCGAGAGGTTGATCAGCTCTCCCACAAACCCTAGCCATTGCTAGAAAACTCACACCAAATATTAGAAAATTAACTCAGCACATATATCCTCTTAACTCTAAACAAAACTCCCCCTTAAATAGCCCTCACACACAATAAACACAATTGGAACCTCCCTAAATAGCATAAACATAATTAAGAAACATTCCTAAACAACATATATACAATAAGGAAATTTTCCTAAACAACTCCTTAATTCCTCCTCCATACATAATGAATAATAGCTCTCCCGGGCCTCACAAGGGGGGTTCAAATCTCCCCCTTTGTTTCCCTTGGTTTGGCCTAGCCAAAGGGCTGGTTCTACCAAGGTTGGGTTGGTCTGGGCCAGTCAGGTGGCCCCCCCTTGGCTTATCACATTCATGATGGTCGACTCCGTGGAAGTCAAAGAAATTAGTTGTTATGAAGATAATGAAGACTTTTAATAAGAAGGGAGACCGAAAAAAAGAACAAAGATTGAAGGACAGAAACCATAACTTTGCTTTGATATAATGTAGAAAAATAGAAAAGTAGAAAAAAACTATGGATTTTATTGCTTAATTCTTTGCGAAGTTTGAAAGTATATATAGATTTCTCCAGATGACTTATAATAAAATAAATTAAATCTATTTTCAACTACAAGAAAAAAATCCTCAAGAGGCTAGTATCTTAAAATAGGAAGAGGCACACAGATTGCAATCAAAAGGTCATAAGAGGATTGATCCAATGATTATAATCATTAATGCATGTGCTCAGAGATCTCTATTAAGATTGGTTGGCTTGTAGATCCCAAAAGCCTTCAACAAATCATTTTCACTCTCTATCCCGACCCGGTGGTGCTAGTTGACTTGAATAATGTTAATAGTAAGGGTGAGTGCATCATTTTGGTGTCGGAGCTTAGGTTTTTGTGTCTTCCTTCCTATTTTAAAAAAAAAAAGAAAAAAAGTATGGACCCTCTTCAACAAACGGAGGATCCAAAGCAAGAAGAAGTCGAATATGAAATTGGTGAAAATCAACCAAGTTATTTTGAAGTCTCAATTCCAACAAACAAATGGATCCTGCTGCAAAGAAGTTCTACCAATCCTAACCAAAACGAGTTGTATAAAATTCAACATCAAATGTACTTGTGTACAGAAAAATTCGAGAAGAGAAAGAAACTTCTTCAAGCCTAGTTTAAGCAAGAAAGATAAATGATTCAAAGAAAATATGCAGCCTTAATGCAAGATTTGGATGTGGCGCCTTCGACACGTTATGGAAGTTCTAAAGTCTGACTCATCAGGAGATGAGATTTTTCAACTGGGGGAGATTTGATGCAAGCAAGGCTTGCATATTCGGGCAATTACTTATGGGATGATTTGGGTTTGGTTCATGCGGGTTTGGTCTATTTGGGAGCTGGCCGGTTCTTGGTTGCTTGGGTTGGCTGTTCGGTTCCCTGCCTGCTGGGCTGTTCGGTTCCCTGTTTGCTGGGTTGTTCGGTTCCCTACCTGTTGGGCTGTTTGGTTCTTGTCTGCTTGGCTGTTCGGTTCCTCTGCTTGGGTCCCTCGGTTCCTGTTTCCCCCAGTTCCTGGTTGTGGTGGTTCGGTTTCTGGGAGCCTTAAATGCTACCTTTTTTCTCTGCCTTTTTTGGTTGGTTGTTTGGGCGGCTCTTTGGGTGTCCTTTGGGCTGCTTCTTTTCTATTTATATTTCCTATTTATAGGGTTGTTTGTGGTTGTTTTAGGAGAGTTTTTTGTGTGAGAAAACATTTAGAATGTAAACCTGCGGGTTTTCACTAGCTTGCGAGCTAGCTTCTTTCCCTTTCCCCTCTTTAAAATTCGTCTCGGTCTTCTAATCCCTTCTTCTCTATGCACGATTTCCACTCCACATGTATCCTTCATCTCTAAAAAATATAAAAGTTGTGTTGAGTCATTGTAAGGTGTTTTAACCTTTTCTATTACTAGTTGTAAGGCGTCGTTGTGTGTGTTTCATGTTGTGTCATTTTTATTTGTTATTGTAAGGTTTTGTGTCTTATTTAGTGGGTTAATTGTTTTCATTTCAAAAGGGAGACGTTCTGCACTTACAACCTTAGCTTCCTAAAATTTGGTTGCATCAATTCCATCCGACACATTTGATATGCTCGCCATATCAGGTGGTCATGCAAGGTGAAAGGTCTTCACCTTTGGTACACATTCAAAGCCAATCAAGAGTTCACTACACTTGTAAGGCCGTCGCAAGGGCGATTACATGTTGACATCTAAGCTTGGTGGGAGGCCATCACCTTGACCATACGAATAAGTGCCTTTGGTTCTTATGGTATTCCTGCCAAGCCAATTGGGAAGCCGTCATCTTGTGTTAGTGTGGAAACTCATCGGTCTGCCTCAATTAACATATTAATCATACCAAGTTGACCTTGTATTACATCACATCATTACAAGCATGCTCTTTGATTTTTTATCTTAATTATGACATTACCCAGCTTTTCACATAGCATATGTTCATTCTTATGCTTAAGCATGTTCAATTATACCCTTATCATCACCTCAACTAGACGTGGAATCATGAAGTAAATCATGGATTCATAGGCACGTTTCTTACTCATTATCAGAAGAAGACAACTCTAAAATTTGACATTAATATATATATATGTATATATATATATATATATGCATTGTTCCTCTGAATAAGAACGACCTGCTACAATGAGCTTCACATTTTAGCAAACTCTCTTAAACTCTTTCTGTCCTTCTTTCACACTTCTGTAGCTCTCCTCTTTAACTTCCTGCAACTTCTCACATGTAAACAACTCTGTCTTATTTAAGCAGTCATGTTTCTCTTCATAGCTACTAATATCAAGGAGATCACATGGCCACTAAACCAGCTAACTTGGTCTATGATGAGGCTAAGCCATATCTATAATTAAGCAAATTATCTCATACTAGCAATTCGCTTGCTCACACATACAAAAACCTTCTTATGCGTGCATGAGTTTGAGGAACATGTATGCATTCAGTTAACTGGAGACTGCAACGTATATTGCAATATTTTTGGATGTATATACTATAGAGGACATATTTGTACATATGGTTAGGTATACTGCATTATAGCTTGTTTATATTAGCCATCTTGTTTCTTTTATTGATTCCATCACATACTACCCAGGAAAGATTGATCAGTCACGTCAAGGATTTAGCTCTGTTGCGTGTACTTCTGAAGCAGAGGTAATGAAGCATTTTTATTGTGAACCCATGGATGTCTGCAATATGCATTTTGATTGATTAGATTGACACCGCTGATAGATGGAGTTCTGTTTTTGATACAGTTGCCATTTGATGCGTGTGAAACACCAAAAGAGTCTGAATCTCCTCGTTTTCAAGCCATAATGCAGGCTACAAATGCACCTAGGAAGAGACTTCCTGCTGACATTAAAAGCTTTTCACATGAGTTAAATTCTAAGGGTGTGCGCCCTTTTCCATTTTTGAAGCCCCGGTACATGTATAACCTGAAGGTAATCCTCCATGGTAATTATTTGGGCTGACAAGAACTGCTCATTATGAAATTTTTTATGTGATACTAGGCCTCTCTTTTATATCAAGGAGAAAATTTCTGGTTTGTTTCTTTTTGTTCCATGCGTAATTTGAGAGTATTGAAGCATTCTGGTACTACTTATCGGTGCCTTTGTTGGTAACTTTGTTCTGTATCAGGAGGTTTTAAAAGATATTCAGGTGAAGTTTGAGAAGGCAAAGGAAGAGGTAAACTCAGACCTAGCTATTTTTGGTGGTGATTTAGTTGGATTATTGGAAAAGAGTGCAGAGAGCCATCCAGACTGGAGGGAAACGTTAGAGGACTTACTGGTGCTTGCCAGGAACTGCTGTGTCACGACTCCTGGGGACTTTTGGCTCCAATGTGAAGGTATAGTTCAGGATTTGGATGATCGTCGGCAGGCACTCCCCATGGGGGCACTGAAGAAACTTCACACTCGGATGCTGTTTATCCTCACAAGATGTACTAGATTACTTCAGTTCCACAAGGAGAGCGGCTTTGCTGTGGATGAGGTTGTTATGGACATCCATCAGCTCCATTCAGCTGATAAAAATTTTCCAACTGGAAGAGGAGGGAGAAGTACTAATGTTGTGATGGGTTACAATGAGGCTGCTACTTCAAGGAAGTCTTACAGTCAGGATCAACATAATTTGAAGTTGAAAAGCCAGGAGATAAAGCCTTCAAATTTCTTCTCACAATTTGAGCCTGACTTCACGAAGGAAGATGATTCACCTTCACGCAGAGAACGCATTGCTTCTTGGAAGCGTCTCCCTTCACCTTCAGTAAAAAATCAGAAAGAAGCCAGTCCTGTTAAATATGACTCTTCTGTTATGAATTTGCCGATGTTAAACAGGGAAGATAATACAGATTCAGACATGGTAACAGTTAGATCAGCTGAGGTAAGCAGTGCTGGAGAGACAAACTTGCACCCTTCTGCTCCATCCAAACATCAGCACAAAGTTTCCTGGGGTTACTGGAGTGATCAACAAACTCTTTCTGAAGATGGTTCAATAATGTGTCGTATTTGTGAGGAGTATGTTCCGACTTTATATGTCGAGGATCATTCGACAATCTGTGCGGTTGCTGATAGATGCGATCAGAAGGGTTTAAGTGTCGATGAACGTCTTCTTAGAATTGCAGAAACCTTGGAAAAAATGGTAGAATCCCATTCACAGAAGGAAGTTCCCAATACATCTGGTAGTCCAGATGTTACTAAAGTATCTAATTCAAGTCCTACTGAAGAATCTGATGTCCTTTCTCCAAAAGTCAGTGATTGGTCACGGAGAGATTCAGCTGATATGCTTGACTGTTTCCAGGAGACTGATAATTCTGTCTTTTTAGATGACTTGAAGAGCCTTCCATCCATGTCTTGTAAGACTCGTTTTGCTCCAAAGTCTGATCAAGCTATGGCTTCCTCGTCTGCTGGTAGTATGACTCCTAGATCACCACTGGTAACACCAAGAACTAACCATATAGATATGCTTTTGGCTGTTAGGAGTGCAATATCTGAAATTGAGGATCTTCCACAGGTCATTACATCCATTTATCCCGTTTTTTTATTCGTTTTAGCATATTTTATTATTTATACGCCTTTAACTGGCTTCATGCTTGCAACATGGGAATCACAATGAAGAAAGGTGTTTGTCTATGTTTCTTCTGAATGAATATTGAATTTAATGTGTCAACCATCATCTGGATCCTCTTACCTTATGATGGAATTACAACTGTTATTTTAATAATTTTGCTTGGAAATATGGCAATCTTTTGATGTCTTTATTTTCATTCTCACCTTTTTACTGATCATAAAATTTTCAAGTCTAGAACCAGTCCTTTTAAAAATCAAAAGCTATGATATCATCACACCTGTCATCAAAATCATAATCATTAGCCTTATACCAAGTAATTTAGGTTGGCTTCATGAATTCTCATGCTCATAGAGTCTAATTGAGTATTATATGAGGTTAGGTTTCTTAAGAAAAAATTCCTTCTGCTTAACTTCTTTCTATAGTCTCTTTGATTTGCCATTTCCTTCCTAAGCCTTCCACACTAATTCTGTGCATACATTATTGGTGCATTCGTCTTCCTTTGTGCATGTTTAAACCATTTTCATTAGTTGCTACACTCGTGTGTTCTTACAATTTAATGATTTTCATAGTCCATGCTTCTTAAATTTACATCATAATCTGGTTATCATCAAACTTAAATTGGCTATTTGTGACATTTTATTTTCCAATATTTGATCCATATAATGTAGATTTATCTAATTTTGGTTTTATAGAATTTTCCTTCAACTCTACATCTCATAATGTTTGGTTATTATCGCTATTTTTTATGAAATAAAGTTATGACTTTCATATAAATGTTCAACCTCCTCAACTAGTTTATTACTTATGGATATGAAGTAGTGGAGGTGGTGCACAATATTGCGATTCATTTAATATTTCAAGTCATTGTAAAACTAAGAAAATAAAATGCATTATAATATAAGGCATTAGTCTGATTAATATTCCTTTATCACATTATACTCTCAGTGGGCTTCTCCGTTTGAACAGCCTAGCTTTAATCCTAGAAGTTCACACTTCATCCTACAACAATATTGGCATATAATTATAAACTTTTCGCTCACTAAAATTGCTTATCAGGCCATTTTTGCCAATTATAAAATTAAGAATGTCTCCCCTTAAACATGATTTTTTGTCTGCCATGAATCTTTTCACCCCAATAATTTTCCTCTTTTTCATTGGTGCAAGTTTTATAATTTATTCAATTTTGTCAAAATTAGTATTTAAATTTCTCTTATATTTGATTTTAGAAGCCTAGGCATTAATTTGATTTATAATGCACTTCTCGATGACTAACTTAATGGATATCATCTCAATAGTCATCGGGAAGTGCATTATAAATCAAATCATCATCTCAATAATTTATCTTTCAAATCTCTATAAATAATTATTACTACCTTCATGTTATTGACATTTCTATCATACAATATTACAATTTAAAATATTCTTCACTGTTTTGAATTTCTTGCTTTTCATTCAGTCTTACAATCATGTATTGTTTATTTTTATTCTAATAATTGTGTCATATGATTCCGTGAATCATTGCATGTTGCTTCTAGAGAAATCCAACATAGACGGAACATTGAAGATGGATTATTTCTTGGTTTTCTCATAGGTTTTACAGTTTGCTTTGGACTGATAATTTCAGTTTGGATTCTGTCTGGGCCATAAAGTGAAAAAATGGGCGAAGAATATCATGTGTAATACTGATGTGAAACAATCCGGTTCAGGAGTTACTTTAAGGAAATTAAAGAGAGCAGATTAAACAAAATAATCCCAAAATAAATTTATTACTTATAACAATGATTGATCCTTAGAATTCTTGGTTTTTAACTTGCTTAGGCAAAGAAGAACGAAATCGATTAACTAAACAATTCAAGAAAACGCAAAGAATAATTATATGCTACGACAATAAACAAGAATCCACTATTTAATAATGAGAACTTTCACCTTTGGAGCCCATACACTCAAATAGTCTAGGCTTTAGCGGAAGAAGAGTCTCCACATTAGAACCGAGGTCATTCCGAGGAAGAAAGAACCTAAGATCGTCGTTCTTGGATAGGTGGCCAGAGCGGTGGAGGATGATGGTCGTCCAACGATGATCCAACGTCCCTTTGATCTTTGCTCGTCAATCACATGAACCAATGTGTAATGGATACGGTCGATATAATCTTCAATAGTGTCGTCGAAATCGAAGCCCACGTCAAAGAACGGTGATTGGCGGTTGTCAACTTGATCTCGATCGTCATGTACAAATCCAAAATTCCATTCGGGTTCCGCCATGCATCCTTGTTGGGCGGGAAGATGCACAAAGATGTGGGAAAAGAGAGGAAGAAGGTGGCGGGTTGGTGGAGGAAGGTGGGATTGGCTTGAGCCCTTGAGAAGTTTGAGTGGAGAAAGGATCCAAAGGAAAATAAAACTGAAAAATCTGAAGTAATTTCAGTTTTGGTAGTGGTGGGATGGAATAAATTTGAGGAATTTAAATTTAATTCCAATAGGGATTGATGGGCGGCAATGGGAAGAAATTTGGGCTGATTTAGTGATGTATTAATGTCATTTGGAAAAGAGAGAAGGCCAATAAGGGTGGCCGACCATATGAAGAGGAGAAGAGGGATTTGGGAGTTAAGAGAGTGAATCTAGGGATTCAAAGAGTGAATTCCAATCGTCCACAATTGCTTCCACCCAAACCTTCGTGACGACGACGAGATCAAGAGGAATAAGGAAAATAGAAGAACAAGAAAAACCTAGAACTCACAAAGAGATCTAGCTTCTCCTATGAACTCACTAAGAGATCGCGGAGATTTGCACTCACAAAGAGAACATGAAATGTCAAATTTTCATTCATCCAAAAACTAATCTTACATAGGAAAATGGCTATATATATAGGCCTCCACATGACAAAGAAAACAAAAAACTAAAATGCCCCTTGGGCTACAATAGCGACCAAATACCCATAAGGGCAAAAGCGGAAAAAACCTAAAATAAAAGAAACTACTGCAATAAATGACTAAAATACAATAAATGACTAAAATACAACTCATGATCGTGGCCGTCGATCTCCGGCATCTCCTGATGGTACATGTGTCGAAATCGCTGACGATGTCCTCATCAGTTGCATTATTTATTATGGAACTGTTTAATATTATTTTACTGACCTTACTGTCTTCTTAAATTTTAATACTCTTACACAATGTTGGACTAAGTGTTTGTCATCTTTTTTCATGAGATGAATAAATCCTTGTTTCAGGATTTTTTAGTTGAAGGAAACACTTTGATGCCTTAAACATATTCTTGCTTGCTCTAAAAAAAATGTTAATCTTCTCTTCAAGAATGAGTTTTTGTTAATTCATTTTTTGCAATGATGCAGATAACTGAGCTTGCCGACATTGCCCGTTGTGTTGCAAATACGCCTATTGATGAGGAAGGGTCCCTGTCATATTTGGTTTCGTGCATGGAAGATTTGCAAGAGGTTGTCAGTCATAGGAAATTTGAAGCACTTACTGTACAGACTTTTGGAACACGCATTGAAAAACTTCACCAGTGGGTTGACTGAACTTTTTTCCATTCTTTTGTATGTATCTATGTTTGTCCATGTGTTTCTGCTTTCATTTTCATGCATGCCTAGAGCTGGCTCATTAATTTGCGTGCTTGAGTGCTCCTAAACTGATACTCATTCTTCATAAATGTGGGTATGCACATGCACAGGTGCATGAGCTTGCATACTCTGTAGGTGATTTATACTATAATGCGAGATTGTTGCAGTTAAATGTTATTTGGGATTTATAGTTACTTGTCCGGTTGTCTGAGCTTTGACATTCATTTTTCATCTTTTGGGATGTTTTTTCTTAGGGAAAAGTACCTTCAGCTATGTGATGTCGTTGATTTCGAAAAGACTGATGCAACAAGTGCGATAATGGATGAAGAAGATGATGTAGTGAGAAGCTTGCGTGCAAGCCCTGTTCACCCTAGTAGTAAGGACCGCACATCCATTGATGACTTTGAGATCATAAAACCAATTAGTCGTGGTGCTTTTGGTCGGGTTTTCTTAGCCAAGAAAAGAACAACCGGTGATCTCTTTGCTATAAAGGTATATTCCTTTTTTCAACCTACTTTCTTTGAACTCTGTTTTTTTTTTTTTTTGTACTTGAAAACAATTCCTGGGTTTGCTTGTTTGTGCAAACTCTTGTTTCAAGGTGCTGCTTTTTTTTTTATATACTTTCTTACTCTTACAACTTGAAGTATATGTGCCTCATTACATTGCTTATGCCCCGAGTAATTAATTTTATGGGTTTCATTTGATCTTTATAAGCTTTGGCAATCACTACCAGATCAAATATCTTTTAGTACTATGTTTTGAATCCTTGATCTATAAAATAGTAATATTAATGTGATCTTCTACTGGGCTCTAATGTTTAATTTGTGTCTAAATACAGTTTCCAGTTCTTATGCTTATTAGTCATATAATAATTGATAACTTCAAGTGTTTTTTTACTGGTTTCACAATGACATTAGTTTTTTAGGTTGGAAGTTAAGTGAGGAGCTTAAAAAATTAATTGACATTCTGATAATTTTTTCTGTGAATAATCTGGTACATTTTCATATGCCAAGCTTCAGCCATAAAGAGCCTAGGATTCGTGCTGATGTTGCTCATACATGAGCATTGATAACCTGATTACTGATTTAGCATAATGATAATATCTATTGCATTATAATCTTAACTAGATGAATTAATGAGCTTAACAGGTTGCTGAAAGACCACTATTGTTTTCACATTCATAATAAATTCTTTGTAGTTTTTTTAAATTTTATGGATAATTGTCTGGATGAATGTTTTTGATTCGTTTATGACTTTATGTTTTTAGAAAGTCATTCAATTCATGAAAAGTATGAATTTTTTTTTAACATTTTACTCCAATATAAATGATCTTCCATTTTTAAAACTGTAAACTTCTTTATTTAATCTTAGGATTAACATGGGAGTATTTGATATGTAGTCAACCTCTTAACGTTATGACGGGGTCCATAATAAGAGAATAGAATGGATTTAGAAAGATTTTAGAAATTTTTATAGAAAATCAATAATGATTTGTCCATCAACTAAAGATATCTTGAGCTTTTTCTTCACAAATTCGATTGCTTTTCCTCTGTTTTTTGACTTTTTCTTTTGACAGAAAACCATGGTGTTTTTTCCTTCCGGATGGCCGTAACATTAATCGAGTTTGCTGCTTTTGGACTGTTTTCATGTTGAGACAACAAACATGTTTTTGATCTGTAGAAAACAAACAAAACAATTTTATTACCTTTTTCTTTGTTATAGGTTGTGAGCAATGGCTATGCTACATTACCATAGTTGTGTCACGGTATTGTGATTGTGCTATAGTTTAAGCATTTCTGTAGTGTCGATGAATGCTACCCTTGGTATTATGCTGTAGGACTATTTGGTATAAGGAAAACAAAGAGGATGGGGCTAGAAAATGAGGGGTTTTTGAGAGAGATTGTGATAGGAAACACTCGTAGAATTCAATATAAACCTATCAATGATTTGATTTCAGCTATTTTTCGCCACAAATTTCAAAAGAATCCAAGAGGAATAGCAAGAACAACGTAGTAATGGATGAAATAGAAGGAAAATACAATCGATCCTCAATTCAAGAGGAGGATCTATCTCTTCTGATTCTTTAGATGCCTTTAGAGCCCAAGCAACCCTAAGCAACAAAATAGAATTGAGCCAATAACAAGATAAACCCTAACCCTAATCCCTCGTATCTATTTAAAGTATACAAATGTAATCCAAATTACTATACAACCCTCTCTAAATAAATTAAAATTTTGCGTGTGTAGTTTTCTGTGACAGTAGCATGTGTGAACGATGATGACCTAATAACGATGCTGAGGTGGCATCACCGCACATTTGAGATATAATCCTGACCCAATACTAGTGTTATTTTTTTGAATTGTTGTGCATGTAGGGGTGTTAATTATTAGCTCATTTTAAAAATCGGGTCGTGTTCCAGTCAACTTGATAACTCGAAATCGACTTGTGTTCGACTCACTTCCCCCTCCCGCATCGCACCGCAAAACTAACTCGCACCTACGTCACGCTCGCCTATCTTGCCCCCGCTCTATCCTTCGCTGCCCAATCTCCTAGCCTTGCACCCGCTCCCACACAGTCGCCTCGCCTGCTCGCAACCTCGCCTTCGCCTGCTCATGGTCACGCCCTCACTTGCTCGCTGTCGTGCCCGTGTTAGTACTCATGCTCAACCTCGCACCTGCGCTCGTGCAGTCGTGCTTGATGCTTACCTTCTTACACCCGCGAGTAGTGAGTTGAGTCGGGTCTAGGTATGAATTTCTTAACCTTTCTAATCGGGTCAGGTATGGATATGAATTTCTTACCTGTTTATCTAATTAAGTCGGGTTTGGGTTGGATCAGTTGCATGCGAGTCAATTTCGGGTTGGATTTGAACCCGATCAGAAAATCCATTTTCACACTCATATGTGCGTGTGAAAGTAAGTACCCATGACTGTCTTTCTTGGCAGGCGGAGAAATTTGCTATGCATGAAAATAAATACCCGTAATCGTCTTTCTTGACAGGAGGGAAAATTTGTTATGCATGAAAATAAGTACCCATTACCACTTTTATTTGCAGGCGGGGAATCTATTATGCATGAAAATACGTATGATGGCCTTTCTTGGTAGGGGGAAATATGTTATGCATGAAAATCTTAAGTACTCGTGATTGTCTTTCTTAGCAGGCGAGGAAAGACTATTATTTTTGATGTAGGCAGGGGGGTCAAATCAAATTGGGTCTTTTTGTGCATTGGGCTGCTTGCTACCTCATGGTTTGGGCCTTGACTGCTCTCAGGTTGGACTTTGGATTCTCTGGTTGTGAGCTGAAATTTTGAGATCTTTTTGGTTCTAGCTCATAAATGTTTGAGCTGATGTTTTAGCTCATTAATTGGAGGAATTATTGTACTTGAAAGCTCATAAACTATAGGATTTAATTAGATTCATTCCCTCCCTTGTGGCTCTTAGGTTTCTTCCCTTGGTTGCCTTTATCTCTTCCCCTCTTGTGTCTCATTGGTTTCTTCCTTGTGAGTCAATGCTATGGTTGATTGTCTTTTCGTTTCTTCTCCCTGGATGCTTTCCCGTGAATTATCTGCCTCGTTTCCTGGCTTGGCTCCTCGGGTCCCTCTCTGGCTGCTTTCCCGTGGCTTGCTGGGTGGCCTTCTTTCATATTTTTTGTGCAGTTTTTTTGTGGGCTGTTTGTGGTGTCTTTTGGCCTTCCTCTTCCCCTTAGTTGATTAGTTTTAATTGAAGTTTTAGGTGGTTGTTTGGCTTCCCTTTTGTGCCTATATATAGAGAGTTTGTGGTTGTTTTAAAAAGAGAGTTGTTGTGATGATGATTTTTGGATAAAACCTGCGGGTTTCTTTGGAATAACTTGGGAGCTATGTCCTCCACCTTCCTCTCCTCTCTATAGCTTGCGAGCTATACTTCGTCTAGTCTTTTAATCTCTTTCTTCTATCCACAAGTGACCACCCCACCTATATCCTTCTTCTCAACTGATGAAATGCAGTTTTAGGAGTTTATGTTTTGAAAGTTTGTAAGCCATTTTGTAAGTGTCTTGTAAGCATCTTTTGTTGTAAGTGCCTTTTTATGATATAAAAGGTGTCTTTTTTAGTATTTTGTGTATCTTCTAGTTTCTAGGAAGAGTATCTCTTGCTTGCAAAAATTTGGGGGCTCTTCCCAAATTTTTGCTTGCATCAATTTGGTATCAGAGCCTAGGTGTGTTTCTTTCTAGGTTGTTTCGTGTTTTTTTTTTTAGAAAAAAATGGAAAATCACAAAAAATTGAGTCCATTGTAGAAGAATGCAATCCATAAAATCTTGAAGACCCTATTCCAATGGACAGGTGGATTCCAACGGAAGGAAGTTTGACAGATCCCTTGCAGAATGAGCTATACAAACTTCAGTCGTGGTTGCATATGAGTACGTAAAATTATCTGAAGAAAGGAAGCATCTGCAAGAACAATTCAAGCAAGAGCGAGACGAGGTCTTGAAAGGTATGCCGCGAAAATTCAAGAGCTTGAGGCGACTTCTTTGCCTCCTCAGAAGAAATATGAAGACAACTCATCGAGAGATGAGCATTTTCAATCGGAGGAGAATTGATGTAGGCAGGGGGGTTAAATCAAATTGAGTCTTTTTGTGCTTTGGGCCGCTTGCTGCCTCTTGGTTTGGGCCTTGGCTGCCCTCAGGTTGGACTTTGGATTCTCTGGTTGTGAGCTGAAATTTTGAGATCTTCTTGGTTCTAGCTCATAAATGTTTGAGTTGATGATTTAGCTTGTTAATTGGAGGAATTATTGTACTTGAAAACTCATAAATTGTAGGATTAATTAGATTCATTCCCTCCCTTATGGCTCTTAGGTTCCTTCCCTTGGATGCCTTTATCTCTTCCCCTTCTTATGTCTCCTTGGTTTCTTCCTTGTGAGTCAATGTTATGGCTGGTTGTCTTTTCGTTTCTTCTCCCTGGCTGCTTTCCCGTGAATTCTCTGCCCCGTTTCCTGGCTTGGCTCCTCGGGACCCTCTTTGGCTGCATTCCCGTGGCTTGCTGGTTGGCTTTCCCGTGGCCTTCCTTCCTGTTTTTTGTGCAGTTTTTTTTTTGTGGGCTGTTTGCGGTGTCTTTTGGCCTTCCTCTTCCCCGTAGTTGATTAGTTTTAAATGAAGTTTTAGGTGGCTGTTTGGCTCCCCTTTTGTGCCTATATATAGAGAGTTTGTGGTTGTTTTAAAAGAGAGTTGTTGTGATGATAATTTTTGGATAAAACTTGCGGGTTTCTTTGAAATAGCTTGCGAGCTATGTCCTTCACCTTCCTCTCCTCTATATAGCTTGCGAGCTATACTTCGTCTAGTCTTCTAACCTCTTTCTTCTATCCGCAAGTGATCACCCCACCTATATCCTTCTTTTCAATGGATGAAATGCAGTTTTAGGAGTTTATGTTTTGAAAGTTTGTGAGTCCTTTTGTAAGCGTCTTTTGTTGTAAGTGTCTTTTTATGTTATAAAAGGTGTCTTTTTTAGGATTTTGTGTATCTTCTAGTTTCTAGGAAGAGTATCGAGCCCCCAAATTTTTGCTTGCATCAATTTTATAATCAATTATATGAAGACCCGTGACTGTCTTTCTTGGCTGGAGGGGATTAGAGACTTCAGCCGTAGTGTCGTCCGACACTGATAGTGACTATCTTTATTGGCGGGTGGGAAGGCCTAGCACATCCCAATGCAGCCCCCTACGCAGGAAGTTGCTGTGGTGTTGCCGAAATTTACATCAAAATAGGAGACTAAATTTTTGGGAAATTTAAATGTAAAATTAAATTAACAAACAAAATGAAAATGCATGAAATCCTAAGTTGCATATACTAAAAATTAAAAAAAATGAATTAAAACCAAACTTATGGTGAACTTGTTAAAAGTATGGCTGCTTGCTAACAAGCACGAATGTGAATTAAAACTTCCCCCTTTACCCCTTAACTTGTGCACACCCAAATCCCCTAGCAACACTTTCCTTGCAAAAATGAAATGCGTGGAATGAACTAAGGAGGAACTCCATATTTATAACCCAAAAAATAGCCATGTGTGAGGACCCACCTAAACAACGAATCTAGCTACAAAGGAGAAATGAAGCTTCATATTAAAATGATATTAAGATGCCATGTAGGAAGTTTCATGTAAAATAATGTCGAAGTGCCATTTAGGAAGCTTCATGTTAAATCAATATCAAAGTGCCATGTATGAAGCTTCATATTGAAATAATCTCAAAATGTCACTTCAAGGTTATAATTAAAACACGTCAATATTTCATTTCGAGACTCCTGCTTTGGATTCCTTAAGTATTTATAAACGAGTAAAATCCGAGCATAAATACACCTAAATGCGAGTAATAATTATCTTAAAAATGTGAAAAATTATTTACACTCCTACAAGAGTGCATTCGTGTTAATGGCTGCCACATAAGATTCCTCCCACATATACCCAATATTATCTTGTGTAAATATATGCAAGCATGCAAATATACAATTACATGCTCAAATGTGTATGTGAACATACATATACATCATATAGATCCGTTGTGTTGCATGATACACACATTGCAATGTGCAAATGCATTATATGCCATAGTATTACATTATACATCATAGTATTGCATTATATCAATATGCAAATATATTATATGTTGCGCAAATGCATTAAGTCACCATGCAAATATATTATGGAAATTACATATATCATGTCTATCATGCAAAATGTATCAGTCATCCCATAAATGCATTATGCAAATGCACTAAAAGCACGCATCCGCGTGAGCTCCGCCGAGCATAACATGTCTATACACATGATGTCTGATGCTGCGCAGACCAAAAAATATATATAATAATAATGAGTTTTAAATCTATAATTCTAAGAAGTGTGCAAAAGTATTATGCAAGCCCACTAATGTGTGTACATTATTTAAATTGAAACTTTAAAATACTCACATGTGCTCCGACAAGTACGTTACACCCCTAAACCTTGTCTGAGAATACTACGCGGGTCAAAAGTGGACCTAAATTCAAGTCCTATCCTCCTCTTTGAATGGATTGGAGTTGACACGACATAAATCAACGAACAAATACACTGTAGTATCAATCAGAGCATTTGATTTTATACATTCACATTAAGCCTTCAAAGCCTCTTATAAGAAAGGTTCACTCAATAAAGCACAAATTCTTTGAATTGACACTTGTTGAATTAACCAAAGTATTTGATTTTATATATTCACATTAGTCCTTCAAGGCCTCTTATAAGTAAAATTTACTTCCAAAATACAAACTCTCAGAGCTAGTGCTCAGTGAGTCTCAAAATATTTGATTTTATACGTTCACATTAGACCTTTAAGGCATTTTAGAAAGAAAAATCACATATTAAAATATAAACTCTCGGTCCTGCAACTTATATGAATATCCTAAAAATTAGTTATCGAACTCGATCCTCTATTGGCAAGCAAACAGAGTCGACAAGGTTTGTTGTTAGAAAATTACCCATAAATCTCGATGATGGCCCTGTTGATAGAAAATCTCAACAGGAGGAAACATTGCCTTTCAAAATACTTATGAACCCTAATGGAAATACAAATACTTAAAGTGAATTTAAGGTCATCTCAATGATAGGCATGTTGAAAGCTAATCTCAATCAGAAATGATCCTACCTTTTAAATGCCCCCAATTCCCAAAATTAATCACTTAAGGGCTCAAATTTCAATAAAATTCTAGAAATGATATTCATCCAATTTTTAATAGTTAAAGATGAAATTAATTGCCTACATACTTAAAGCAAAAATCCATCAATCATCTACAACAGTTTGTCAATGTGAATAAATTTAAAATTTTACTTCAGCTCACAGAGAGCGCATGTCCAGTCGAGAATATCGCTAAGATTCCTTCTCAAATCCTCTTTTGGCAGTAAGAATTTGGCATATGTCCTCTAATCGGTGGTTGCGTGGTCAAATGACACCACAGGTAACTGGGGCCCTCTGATCGGCTGGTTTTGCCACCAAATAGTGCCACTAAGTTATGGTTACGGTCAGAGTATGTATGTTCCCTAATGGCTCTAAATAATTGAGTAATGAATTAATAGGGTATAATCGATAAGGCATAAAGCCCTTTGTTAGTTAAGGTGGACTCAAATTTGTCTCATTAGACAAACATTCATTCCAAGTCTACAAGGTACTCTTAGACTTTACTACCTATGACTGTCGACAAGATCCTTCGGTTAGGTTGAGTCGACTACCTTTTCTGATTAAGTAGACTATGTACCATGATAGCGTGGGATGACATAACCATGTGATCTTTCATCATTTTTCCATCACCTGCTTTAAGTGTACGGTGATAAATTTCGAATCTAAAAAAAATCTCAAATCCAATTTTAAAACCCTAAAGGTGTTGTTGCTATACACTGGGTATTCAATGCTTATCTAACGACTAGCCTTAATCGAAAGTATTCTCTTGTTATTGGCAGAAGTAATTAACTATAGGGGCTTGTGTCTATAGGAAGTCGGAAGTTGGACCTCGGATTATAAAGTCCTCACAAAATGAGGGTGAAATCTCTGGGTAGTGTCTTATCTAAGATTCATAAATTCTTTTAAAAATTTATCCCATAACATAAACTCGATAAAACGCTTCTCATCGACAAAGAGGGCGCAGGGAGGCTGGGGCACAATTTTTCAAAGCCCACAAGAATTAGTGAACTTACTAAAAATGAAAGGTAATTCAAAATATTATTTAAAAAAAAAACTATTTTGGGGTGTGTACGGGTTGGGGTTCATTCATATGGAGTGTGATTTTTCACGATCTAGGGTTTTCTTGTGCCACTACATGAGGTTCTCATTGGTTCATGGTTTGAGAGGTGAATGTACACTATCCTATCCTTTTGTTGTAGAGTGGTTATTTTCAGGATTAAAACTTGTGACATCTATGTCACAATGGAGGCAACCTAAGTATTATCCCACTTAGCCTTTTTATAAAGGCTCTTTGTGATAAAAGTGCCGTTGGAAGTCACTGAAGAATAATACAAACAATACATACATAGCTTGCACATATATATGTAGGTGTTTGATACATTTATGTGGGGTATGATCCACTCATAGAAGTATGTTAGTTTTATAGAGTATGAAGTGGAAAGATAAGATATAGAGAAGGATATTTAAGAAGACGTTGTTGCTCTATGCTAGTAATTTTACTGCTTTTGCCAAACGTCACCATCTTTCATTCATGAAAGCTGCCTTCAAGGTAGTCAGAAAGCAAGCTGAGAGCCAGAATAACTGATAAGATTATCTATCAGGAATTCGGTTTGGGGAAATTATATGATTGATAATTGAAAATGACAATTCAGTCAATGTATGTCTTCTTCGATTTGTGCTATTTTGAGGCAAGGACCAGAAATAAGGGCAAAAAGTTATCCTGCACTGTTGTGATTTTTCTGACGTCTTGTCCTAGTTTTAGATTCATAACATGAAGAAGCTTAAAATATTTCCATGGAAGAAATTTCAGTCTTACAGATTACTTCTGTGCTTCTTTGGATTAAAAAACTATGTATTTTACCTATTTTAAGTATTGGTAAATAATATATTCTATCTTTGAGAAAGTGCAATTATATTCATATTTTTGTTATCTCTAACCTTTTGTACAGGTTCTTAGAAAAGCTGATATGATCCGCAAAAATGCTGTGGAGAGCATATTGGCAGAACGTGATATCTTAATCACAGTTCGAAATCCTTTCGTGGTGAGTCCATCTAGTGATTGGCTGATGTTTTACTTTCATTTTATTTTTCTTTTAATTTGATGCTGATTGATTTTCTTACTTAAAAACCTGTTAGGTGCGGTTCTTTTATTCTTTTACATCGCGGGAGAATTTATATCTTGTGATGGAGTACTTGAATGGAGGGGATCTATATTCTTTGCTTAGAAATTTAGGTTGCTTGGATGAGGAGATTACGCGGATATATATAGCAGAAGTTGTAAGATCTCATTTGCCTTTGTTCTTTATTCTAGTTTTTTTTTATGTAGTCTTTTAACACTTTAGTGCCTGTGATTTTAAGGTTCTTGCTTTGGAATATTTACACTCGCTAAGAGTGGTGCATCGAGATCTAAAGCCAGATAATTTGCTGATTGCACATGATGGTCATATCAAGGTAATATACATGTTTATATGGTTGTGGAAGTGTTACATTCTCAACTCTTAGGCTCTTTGAAAGTTACTAACCCCTCATGGTATAAAAATAATAATCATCTATGCATATTTAGTTGAGATATTTTGTTTAGCTTGCCTCCTGCTTCTCAAAATTTACTATGCTTTTGATACATTGGGGAGATGTGATACCAGATAAGTTTGTATAGATCATAATTAATCATAATGACAATCTTTGATAATACTAAGGATATAAGAGCTATTAGGCACGTTGCTAAAGCTAATTTTTGCAGACGTATTTGATATAATTCTATTGGAGGATGTATAATTCATAAGATGAATGAGAATGCAGAGCTGTGTAAGTAAAATATAGTTAGATTTACATACATTACACTTAAAACTATCTTTTTATATATTTAACATCAAAAACTTTCTACTTACATAATACTCAATTCTTTAAATAACATAAAAATATCACCTCCACATTAACTTTCCATCACAAGGATCTCGTTTTCTCCGTTACATGTCATAGGTCCCGTTAATGCTCTTCCCCGGTGAGATCCCATTGTGACTTATTCACATATTCTTCTTTATCATCGGGATTTCAGACATCGCAGTCTTGTTGATGCTCTTCCCTCTGAGAAATCCATCGTGACATCCTCGCCTTTTCTTCATTGTCAAAGTTTTCTAGATTTTCAGCTGGAGTAACTCTAAAGAGCCAATGGAATGATAGTCAACTAAATAGGAAATTTTAAGTGTTAGATATGTAAATAGGATAGTTTTAGTGTCATGTATGTAAATCTACCGAAAAGATATTGATGTTTATCTTCACCTCATCCAAATTGACTGTGTGACAGCAGCTTTCTAAAGAAACTCAGTCCAACTCTGTGTTCTACTTATCGGATAATTATTAGTAATGATTTCTTGGCAAACTAGTGCTAATGCTTGTAGCTCAAATCTCAAACATGTTAACATGTTTGCTTTCTATATTCTAAATACTCTCTTTTGGGTACTTTTCTTGTGAATCAAACACGCATGCAGACAAATAGATTTATGCAGTGCATGGCTGCGTAATATATGCTTTTTCTACTAATGCCTTTGTGAATTTTTTGTTTAAGTTTAAAAAACAGTTTAAGTTTTTTTGGATCAATTTTTTTGCAGGTCTCTTGGCCCCTTTTTATTAATATTTCCCATTAGTTTATCAAATTATTAATTAGATTTTTACAGGTTATACATTGAAGTTAAAACATTTCCTTTTTGAAATCTCTTCATAGGTTTTCTGTGTTTAATTGTTTCGTGTAGGTGCTTTACCCTTATCTAGATTTCCTCAATATTTCTCTTCTTTCCTGAAAGAATGTGGGGGCCAACCAACCCTCCTTAACATCAATCTCTCTTTCTCTCTGATTGTTTACTTGAGAATAATAGCTCTAACATCCTTCTGTCTTTATTTTTTGTCTCTGGAGATTGTTAAAGGTGAGAGGCCGAACCAATAAAAAAGGGATGATGGGCATTGGGGCCTTCTAACCGTCATCCTTTTTTCCTTGAGTGAGGTTAGAGGACCAATATAAGCATCTGCATTAAGTTATTCATAAAAGAAACTGATCCACAACATTCTTGCATGAATATTTTTTTTTTTACCTAAAATTAAAGAACCATAATGAAACTTGTTCAAATTTTGATGAGTGGTGAACCAATCTCTTCTTGATGCAAATCTAGGAGCCTAGCTGCAATTAATCCTTTTGAAAAGATAAGAAAATTGTGAGCTCCACATTGTGCTCTTGAACATGCTTATTTTTCCATGACAGTTAACAGATTTTGGACTATCCAAGGTTGGTCTCATCAACAGTACGGATGATTTATCAGGACCAGCTGTTAGCGGAACATCACTGCTTGGAGAAGATGAGGTCCAAATATCCCCATTTGAGAATTTGGATCAGCGGGAAAGGCGGAAGAAACGTTCTGCTGTCGGTACACCTGATTATCTGGCTCCAGAGATCCTTTTGGGGACAGGACATGGTCAGTATAAAAATAATTGGTAGATGGTAGCTATTGGTTCGTTTTTTTTTTTTTATATTTTCTGCTATTACTTCTTGAAGGAATTTCATGGCTTACTAACCTTTTTAATACTATTTTGAAGACTAAAAAGATGCCAGATGAGTGGAGAATGAGTGTGTTAATTCCTATTTTTAAGAATAAAGGTGATGCACAAGATTGTGCGAATTATAGAGGTATTAAGTTAATGTGTCATACTTTAAAACTATGGGAGCGAGTTATGGAGCATAGGTTGCGGCGTGATACTAATGTTTCTCAAAATCAATTTGGATTCATGCCGGATAGGTCGACTATGGAAGCCATACATTTATTAAGAGGTTTGATGGAGAAATATAGAGAAAATAAGGATGATCTACATATGATATTTATTGATTTAGAAAAAGCATATGATAAAGTTTCAAGAGAAGTGCTATGGAGAGTTCTTGAAAAGAAAGGAGTCAATAATGCTTATATTCAAATCATTAAAGATATGTATGCAGGAGCTATTACTTGTGTTCAAACACAAGGTGGATTGACCATGTATTTCCCTATTTCGGTTGGGTTACATCAAGGATCAGCCTTAAGCCCATATCTTTTTGCTTTAGTCTTAGATGTTCTCACTAGACATTTGCAAGAGGATGTACCTTGGTGTATGATTTTTGCTGATGATATTCTTCTTGTTGATAAGACTAGAGAGGGAGTTAAAGGTAAACTTGAATTATGGAGGTCAACCTTAGAGTCTAAAGGTTTTCGCTTGAGTAGATCTAAAACGGAATATATGGAGTGTAATTTTAGCAGTAATAGACCTAGTGAGGGGATTGTGACTTTGGACGATCAAGTCATTAATAAGAGTACACATTTTAGATATCTTGGATCTATTGTTCAGAGTGATGGTGAAATAGATGGGGATATTATCAGCAAAATTCAAGTTGGATGGTTGAAGTGGAGGAATGCATCGGGCTTGTTATGTGATAGAAATGTACCCCTCAAACTTAAGGGAAAATTCTATAAGATGGTAGTGAGGCCTGCAATGCTTTATGGTGCCGTGTTGTTGTTGTTGTTGTTGTCTGCTATTACTTCTTGACCTACTATTACCGTGATTTACTGTTTTCAGGTGCTACAGCTGATTGGTGGTCTGTTGGTGTTATTCTCTTTGAGCTCCTTGTTGGAATTCCACCATTTAATGCAGAGCATCCTCAGGTCCTAATCATTTTGTATGAAGCATGTTACCTATAATAATTTTGTTCATTCCAAGTAATTGATGTTTATAATAACACACTTCAAATGCCAATTCTGTTCTGAAAATCCCTCGGATATATACACAGACATGCGGGCTTGCATAAGTGCACAAGTGCTTATGCATGCGGGCAGTGCATGTGCATCTGTCTAAGGGAAATTTACATACATATCACTTTATTTCATGTTATCTACATATCTAACACCTAAAATATTAATATTACATGCCTACCATCAATATGCAACTTTAATATCAGATATATCACTCATATAATTCATTTCTACCATTCATATCATCCTATAAACTTTAATATTTCATTCCATGCCCCTAAATTTGTTCTATGGGTGGTAGGCATGTAATATTAATTTTTTGGGTGTTAGATGTGTAAATAGCATGAAATAAAGTTGTATGTATGTAAATCTCCCATTTTAAAATCAGAGAAATAATTTAGTACTTTTTTGTGTTAGCCTTTTCAGTTGCCAGGCACTATTTGAAAAAAAAAAAAGTTATTTTTCAATTTTACCTTTTTAAATATTAGATATTATGCATGATTAGAGCTAAGAGCTGACCTAAATCCACCTTATGAAATCTAGGTCAATTATTGGTATCCAATCTTTTTATATGTATTCTTTTATCTTTACTTTTTTTTTTTTAGTTGTGTATGCTTATCCTAACTTGAAGTCACGTCATTCCCTTTACCTAACCGTACTATGTCCAATAACCTATGACTATACCCAAGGACTGGATTCAAGCTGTTAACATTTTGAACAGTCCCACCCAGTTTATTGAATCCTACTGACATTGATGCCGCTCCTGATTCCAAAATTTTGAATAAGAAATTGGGGTATTTTCTTGTATCTATTGGAAGTATACAGACCTGATTCTCCTTTTACCCTTAGTTCAATCCGTTCATTTTCACCATGTGTTTGGACTTAGCAAACATCTGCAATGTGAGGAAAACATACCATTCAGTGACTTTGTGCTCTCCGTAGTATAGATTTGCACTTAAATATCATTGCACAACATATAAAGTTGTTATCAGTTGTCTCTAATTATATTGTTGCAATTTTTTAGTTTTGTCCCTTGTCTTGCATTGTTATATTTTCGTAATTTTAGACTAAAACTAATCTTCTAGTTTAACCTTCATTTGAGTAGCACAATAAGTGTTGCAATAGCTATGCATACATACTTAAATTTTTCAGTGGTGCATTTGAGAAGAAAGTTCTAAAATGATATTCAACCTTTGTCGATGTCTTGCCATGCCATCTAACTTCACATCTATATCATAAGCACTTAACGTGCACAAATACTTGAAAAGGAAGTTTGGGGTGTTATCTTGTAAATCATTTATGTATTACATATCTTTCATGTAGTTTTTACATTTTTTAATATTTATACGTATTACTACACTTTTGTGGTATTATCAACAACACTATAAGCAAATAGTTTATTATTGTTCCCTGCATAATTTTTTTTTCTTTGTTATTGTAGATGATTTTTGATAATATTCTAAATCGTAAAATACCTTGGCCCCAAGTGCCTGAAGAGATGAGCGCAGAAGCTCAAGATCTTATTGATAAGTAAGTAGCAGGCAATAATCTTTTATATTCTTGTCATGCGCATCATTTCTTTACCTCTTTTGGTGATAGTATCTTGTCCGTTTATGTTTGCGTTGAAAGATAAATATGTTCCAGAATGTAACATGTTGGTTGCTTCATTGTTGAATTGCCTTCTTCTATGCTGAAAAATATTTGAACTTGTGTTTTGCACCTGAACGCGGTAACAACAGGATAAAAACCACAATTCTTTGTCAGGATATGCTTAATTATGCAGTGGGCATACGACTGATCATTATGGGGGTTTGGCTCATTCAATTTTGACTAGTTCTGCATCAACGATTGTCTCTTTTAATTCTAAATTAAGAATAATTTTTCCAAATCTGATTTTTACATCTGTAATATTGAATTAATTTATCCATTTATTTTAAATTTTCATTTACATAAATTTAATATTTTTCTTGTCCAATTTGATCGTGGTTATGAAGCCGTGAAGCTTTAATTCTTTTTAGATTTCCATATATGTTGAACCCAAACTCAAGCATCCATGGATTTGAAGACATAAAAAGAGATCTAATTTTCAACGAGAAAAAACCATTTTACCATAAAAAATTAACCTTCAAAATGCAATCTAAATAAAAAAGTAATAGTGATTCGGGACTCTTTTTATTTGGTGCATGAAGCTGGTTTGGTAGTAAGCTCTTGCACTATGTTAATAGGATTTCTATTCAATCAACACTCGGGCACAAATGAAAAAAAAACCTACTCATATAATTATTATTGATGAACTTACTTTACATGACTCAAATTCCCATAATTTTATAATCATATGGTTCTAAAGCATATAATTGAATAGTACGATCTAATCGAAAATCTCATCATCATCTGGGTGAAACAGCACATCATAAAGCTTAAATAAACCACATAAATCATCTGCAAGGATGCTCAACAAAGCTATAATGCAAGAATTGCAAGCCATGAATGGGTTAAATAAAAAGTTATTGAAGTGCAATGAACCCAAAGCGTTTGGACCCAAATCATCTTCCAAAAGCCAATAAGTGGTATGAATCAATAGAAGACTAGTGGATGGACCAATTAGAGAACAAACTCACGAACTGAACTAGAAAAAGAATGCAACCTGTTCTATATAGGAATCTTATAGGCATGATTACACCAAATAACTGAATATTGAATTATAAAATCACAAAACAAAATCAAACTTTTATATTGTCAAGTTACTTGTCTCAGCAAACATATTTTGTATTTTTCAGCTTATATTTTTGACTAGTACAAACTTTGAAATTGCGTTAAATTCCTTTCAATAATTCGTCGCATTCTAAAGCGTGAAAGGTAAGAGTGGGCATGGCCTTTGGCATTACGAGCTTCTTGAGCAGTCAATGTAAAACAATCAAAAAGATCTCTCCATAATCTTGAAGAGGAAGAGAAGGCATGGAACTTCTTTTACCCATCCAACTGTTCCCTCTCCATAGGGGAAACCACAAAGACTTAGTAAATGACCAATATCCTAGAACTAAAAGGAGATAAATAAGAAGAAAAATGAACTATGAGGAAAAGGGGTTTTCCTTGTCTTCAGAGAAAAACCACATGGGAGAAATAAAGGGAGATAGCCCAACATCATACTAGCTCAACTTTTTGTGGGATACAATGTCTCAATTCATTCGATTGGGCTTCCTTACACATCTTTTCACCAGGAGTTCCTATAATGATGGTTCTTTTATGATTTTCTCAATAGTTTTGGTATGGATATTTTCTTGGATTACGATCTTATTATTTCTCCCCTTGCGGCTTCTTTGGTGGTGCCATCCTATCCTATTTGGTATTTTATGGTATTTCTATAATTATGTATTATGAGATCTGTAGAAGAGCAATTCTTCAATGTGAGTGAAATCTGGTTTTTTGGTATGAGCATAGCATTGTTCTTAATTTTAAAATTCTAGTCCTTGATCAGGTGTGAAACTTGAAGTATATCGATAGAGCCAATATCCTTGTTCAAGCATTAGGATTTAGTTATTTCTTTTTCATCTCTTTATGCTCTTTTTCTTTCCTTCTCTTCTTTATTCTATTGGTTGACGGTGATTAAATATTATGAAATTTCCTGCAATCTAATTTCTTTTACATGCATGAAATTTTAATTGAATGTGTGGCTTTCATGATATTTTATTTCTTATTGTCAATTTCTATTAGAAAGCAAAAAAATCTTTTAGTTTGAATTATATTTTAAACATTCTCAATTTTAATCAGAAGTAATAAATAGTTGTTTGTTGCATCAACTATTCGCAGTTAAAATTGCATTCTATGCTAGACATGAATTAAAATTTCTAGATCAAAGAACATCCTGGATCATGTGTACACAGTTGAAAAGAGTTAATGATTAAACATGCATAGCATTAAAAATCTTCCCGCATTTTAACAAATTTTCAGGCATCTGAAATCAAACCTAACCATATGAAACCTACATGTTAACGCAACTCGACATATATGTCCTAACATAAATAGAATGATATTGATTAGCGTGTTAGTAGAAATATTTGTTGACATTTGTTTGATTCTCTGTATGCTACATTTTAATTCAGTCACTACATCTTTTGATTACCTAAATTACAGAGGAAATAAATCCGTGTGGCTGTGTGGCACTTACAAAAGGAAATCCAGTTCTACATGCGGTTATGGAATCCTCAGTGCTATGGTTTCTTTTGGAATTTCAATATATAGAAATTCAAATGGTTCGGCAGGCCTAATCTAGCTGGCCAGTCAACTAGCTTATTTCTTACTTTGTCACATTCTAACTCATTCTCTTCTTTTCATCACGTCCTTCAAGCTCTCTGATTGTTAAAAAAGAGAAAAAAAAAATCATTCTGTTCTTTTGAATTACAGTTTCCATAGTATTGAAGAAGTGCATGTGTCTGTCTGTTTTCTTCTTTGTCATAATATTTATAAGAAATACTCATACTTGAAGTCGTACTACCTTTCAGACCGCAATTTTGTGTACTGTGTCTGTTTTCTTGTTTAATCCGACATGCATCGGTTTATCTATTTCTCTGATTCTATTTTATGCTTTAAGTTGGTTGTAGGAGATATTTGAAACAGTAAAGCTTAATCAGCAAGAGTTGCCTAGCTGTTTATGTCTCTTGGCATTATTTGATGCCTTTTCTGCCTCTTAAACTGGAACTTTTTCATAGCTTTTTAAACAATTGAAGAAAAACTAAGTGACCAAAATTTGTGACTTAGGTATTTCAATGTTTTGGATTTGTCTAACCTTGTCTATACTTCCATGTTTGTAATAGATTATTAACCGAGGATCCTAATCAAAGACTTGGAGCAAAAGGTGCTTCAGAAGTAAGTTTTAAGCGGGATAATTGTTACCCAAGTTCTTTTATAGCCTTGAACTGATTGATTTTTAAATCACATGAACAATAATTTTCAGGTTAAGCAGCATGCCTTTTTTAAAAACATTAACTGGGATACACTTGCCAGGCAGAAGGTGACCCCATGTTTTTTAACGCTTAGATCACGTTTTCCTTATTTTGGCTCATTTGGATAGCAATTCTTCTACTTCTTTCCCTTTGCAGGCTGCATTTGTTCCCTCATCAGATAGCGCAACAGATACTAGCTATTTCACGAGCCGCTTGTCATGGAATCCATCAGATGTACATGTTTATGAGGCCAGCGACTTTGAAGATTCCTCTGACAATGGCAGCGGAAGTGATGCCAGTAGCTGCATAAGCAATCATCAAGATGAGCAGGTAAGGATGAGATATGGTCTTTAATAATTTTATTATTTAGTTAAGTTATTCTATATAAAATCATTGTTTTGATAATAAAACTGATGATGGAGAAAACATTTTAAAACTTTTCATGCTTGCAAATGAATTTTATTAACTAGAGCATTAACTCTAGTTTTGTGCCCAATAGAATCTTCCCTTTTCAGAGCACGGTGGAAAAAACTAATTTAATTATGGCTGGCAGGGGGATAAGTATGCTGGGGTTGAGTTCGGTAATGAAGCATCTGTGAATTACTCGTTCAGTAATTTCTCTTTCAAGGCAAGTTGAAAATCATTCAAAAAAGTTGCACTTTCCTTTTCAATCTCTATTTTCTTCAAAAGTTCAGGTTTCTTAGTAATGTTATTGAACTTGTTCCACTAATAAAAATTTTCTGTGCTAGTGAAAGGGGCAAAGAAAAGTAAGGGCCACTTCTCAAAAACTTTCAGTAAAATGACAGAAGACTTGCTTGTTTTAATAACTTGAATGTTTTAAACAATGCCCTTTGAATTGATTGAAATAATAGCATCAGAATTTCTTGTTGGAAATCTCATCAAGATGGGTTGCATGGCTCTTAAATTTATCCTGAGATTAGTGCTACATATGAAATTTAAGGACTGCACTAATCTCAGCAGAAATTCAAGGGTGATTTCCACCAAGTTATCCTGACACAAAATTATAAGTCACCATTTTTTACTCTAAAAATGGTGAATTTTCATCATCTTTCTGTGCAAAGTTTGATTCACATTCCTTTTAAAAATTATTGTGACTAGCACATGCATATGATTTGTGAGTCATCGATTGCATTGGATTGTTCTTGAGAAGATGAACAAATCCAAACTAAGATTAAACCTAATCATCAATGGCATTGGATTGATTTCTGTTGATGGTCAAGTACAGTATACACTCCAAGTTTATTTTGGGTAAAGTACAAGTATACACTTAATTTGTTAATTTGTCAACTCCATTATGTTATTGGTGCCTTGAGCTTCAAGATCATATTTTTCGCCTGCTGATCAGAGGCTTTGCCACCATCAATCTTCACTGACTGTTAGTTGGCTGTCTGGCCTTGTCATGGCATAGGGAATTGGTCGTGTCGGTTCATGGACGGGATTGTCTAGCCTTCTTTTGATCAGTGAGGGTGCAATCTGATTTATTTTTTATAAGAATGAAGAATATTTCAGTATAACTTTGAATAAGAACTGGATTACCTCTATCAGAATCTATAAATAAACTTAAATTCTAATTTTTTTAATATTTTGAACTCTAAGCGCTCCTAAGTTCTTTAAAAGTCTGAATTTTGGCTGCTTCTGGATCTATCAAAACGACGGCTCCATTTTCCCAAATTCATTAGGCATAACTATCACCCTTCTATTATGCCCATCAGCCCAGAACACTAGACATACACCAATCAACATCATGTAACGGTACATTTGACCGATGAAAATCAATGTTCATCTCAACGTCTTATGTCACACTTTCTCAACACCAGATGTCTGCCAAACATTATCACACGACTTCACAATCAACCAACATTTGTTCAAGTCTTAACAATGTCGCTCTACACTGGCTATCTCCAGTCAATGTCAGTGGCTTTCAACACTCTCTATGACCACCTCCAGATGGCAAGATACTCATTTTGGGTGAACCTTTGCATTTTTAATCTCAAACTAGTGGATTTATTTCAAGTGACTATCCCTGCATTTTTTCCTCAGTTGAATTTTTCATTTAAATGTTTGTGCATTGTTTGTGCCGACCCCACGTAGTGGGATAAAGGCTTGATGTTGCTGTTGTTGTATTGATGTGGGCACAAATTCTTGCAAGCTAAAGATGCAAGTCTTAATTTTATAGTCGTGAATTCTTAGCATGCATTATATATATAAAAGAGATAGATGAGGCAATTATTCATTTAGAAGGATAGGAGCTCATCTATATCTTTGAATTTTGAGGTTTTATGCTGATTTCAACTAATTAAATATTTCTTTGGGAATTGAGAAGGAAGATCTACTTGAAATCTCAAATTTTCAATGCAGTGAATGGTTCAAAATGTATGAGGATGGTAGCTCATATTCTTCTTGATGGTTCTCTCTCTTTCTCACTCACATAAAAATGGATGACGTGTGCTATGAACCATGTCGATTCAAAACGAAGTAGTAAAGGAGGTTGGAAAATTAGAAACATGCACGGCCCTGTGATGTTCTCAAAACTTAGAAAAACAATATTCTTCTATAATAGCAGATTTTAAATTAGTGTAAATCATATTCCGTCCCTCCTAAATTGCATGCGTGTAACATTTTTTTTTTTTACATGCGTGGAGTGGGAGCTGAAGTAGTGGGCCAACCTGGAGTAGCTTCTTGTTTCCTATCGGTAACTAAATGCCCATGGAGAAATCGATCTGTAGCAGTTGTACTCAATTTATTGGTTCAATCATTTTGTCTGAAGCCTCTACTCCATTTTTCTAAAAGCTGCATAACGTGTTATGGTTGTTGAGCTATTTATATTTTGCTTGGTTTTGCAATCTTATTTGTGGCGGTTATGCTTGTTAGGGAGTAAATCAAAGCGGATCAAGGTTGGGCAATACACCAATGACCAAATTATGTTTAATTCAAAATTTTATGTTTATAAGTGAGGAGCAATCACTTATTAGTTCTACACAAATTTTTTAACCAACTAATGTGGGATTAAAACCGAACTCTCATGTATCTTAATAATCCTAGCTCACTTGAAAGCTCTTCACATCATTCATTGCTCTCTCATAAATATTAAAGCAATCAAATGTGAACCATATGAACCACTTGATCAAAGTCAAGCCATTAACCCTAATACTACTTGTTAAGGTATAAATCAAGGCGGTGCCAAAGTTTGGCGATGCGCCAATATTCAAATTAATTTCAACCCAAAAAGTCAATAACATAATCTCTTGGTTCACTGACTAATGGTACTGATGTGAAACAATTGCGGAGTTACTTAGGAAATTAAAGATAGCGAATTAACAAAGTATTTTCATAATAAATTTATTACTTATAATAATGATTGACCTTTAGAATTCTTAGTTTTTAACTTGCTTAGGCAAAGAAGAGCGAAGTCGGTTAACCAAACAATTTAAGAAAACGCAAAGATCAATTGTAAAACTACGACGGTAAACAAGAATCCGCGATTTAATAATGAGAACTTTCACCTTTGGAGCCCATACGCTCAACTAGTCTAGGCTTTTAGCGGAAGAAGAGTCTCCACATTAGAACCGAGGTCACTCCGAGCAAGGAGCCTAAAATCGTCGTTTTTGGATAGGTGGCCGGAGTGGTGGAGGATGACGGTCGTCCAAGGATGATCCAACGTCCCTTTGATCTTTGCTCGTCGATCACATCCACTAAGGTGTAATGGATACGGTCGATGTAATCTTCAATGGTGTCGTCGAAATCAAAGCCCACGTCAAAGAACGGTGATTGGAGGATGTCAACTTGATCTTGGTCGTCATGCACAAATCCAAAGTTCCATTCGGGCCCCGCCATGCATCCTCGCCAAGGGTTGAATGAGTACTCAGGATGGGAGAGGGAGGAGTCACGGTTTTGGAGGAGAGAGAGGGGGTGGGTGAGGTTATGAGGGATTAATGGATGAGCACCAATTAGGAAAGTGATTACTCAAGGGATTTGAAATTCAAATGTTGAGAATTCAAGAGGGGGAGGTGGCGGGATGGAGCTGTGGGGCTGGCCAGCGGAAGACAGGCCGGCGGGTGGCTGGCTGTTGGCCGGCGGAAGGCTGGCCGGCTGGTGGCTGAGCGGCTGGCCGACGGAAGGCTGTAGCCAGGGGCCGGCGGCTTTGGCCTACTTGGAGTAGGCGGCGGCAAGAGCAAAGGGAAAAGAATTGGGAGTTTCTAGGGACTTAAGTAGCCACGGATCCACTAACCTCAATTGCCTTCAATCCGAATTTCCACCACGAATGAGGGGACGAGAATTTAGAACTCACAAAGAGATCTATTTCCTCCGACGAACTCACTAAGAGATCGGGGAGGAGGAACTCACAAAGAGAACTCAAAGTAAAAATTTCATTTCATCAAAACTAATCATACATAGGAAAATGGTCATATATATAGGCCTCCAAATGACAAAGAAAACCAAAGACTAAAATTCGCCTTGGGCTACAATAGCAACTAACTACTCATAAGGGCAAAAACGGAAAAACATAAAAATCAAATAAACTACTACATAAAATGACAAAAATACAGCTCATGATCATGGCCGTCGATCTCCGGCGTCTCATGTGTCGAAATTGCTGACGATGTCCTCATCAAGTACTCATACTGTTCCTGATCAAACTTTCTACACTACCTTCTTCTTGGCTACCTTTTAGATCTATGAAGATTTATAGTTGTTCAAGCCGTTTTCACTTGCTATTTAAATAGCCGAGGTTGGCGAACCTATGCTTAGAAGCCTCAACTTAAAAAGCTATAAAGTTTGCTCCATATATCTAAGAATTCTGTGTACATTTCACCCATGTTTTCTTCTATTCATTCTCTTTTATATATGAAATTTGATAGTTGGCTAACTTGATTTTTTCTTTCCCCTCTTTGCAGAATCTCTCCCAGCTCGCATCTATTAATTATGATTTGCTTAGCAAGGGCTTCAAGGATGTACAGTCAAGACCTGATTCTTAATCTCGCCCCCTTTCGGGTTCCGATTTTGTACAAGTGGAACAGTGAGAAATGTACAGGTTGCATAAGAACTCTTCCTCTCTTTATATTTACCTTCTCTTCTATTTTCTTTCTGATTTGCATCTTATGCCGAGATAGGAACTGCATCTGAGAATTTGGAGACAAACCAGTTCGCTTATGGAGAAAAGGTATTTTACAGAAATATCGGCTTAGGTTTGGTTTTGGCCTCTCAATCCATCCTGAGTGATGGTTTTTTGTTTCTCTTCTGTTTTTCTCGGTGATTGGGCTTTCGGAGGAATCAAGCAATGTTTTCGTAAGAATGTGGATGAATTTTATTTATCAGTGAGGCCTCTTCCTCCCTTTATTTAATCGGCCTTATCCCTTCTCATTTCTGGTTTAAGTATAATACTTTTTCGTACCATTGCAAAGAGATGATGTTTGATATTCTACGATGTTTAATGCTTTTCTTACTGCAAATGAGCTAATTAGCTTCTCTGCAACAAGTTCTAATTGATCTTTCAAATCTGTGCAGTCAATTTAGATTTAATTTGGTTTCTTGTAAATTCAAAAATATATTTAGGGACTATTTGGTTGGCTGAAAAAGGTGGCCAGCGAGAGGCAGTGGCTAGCTATTTATACATCAGCACTCTCTTTGGGCAATATAAAACAATTGGTCTACATTTATGTAAAGCACTAGTCTAGTCTTTATTTTATTTGTTTTAGGTAGACCGATTCTTTAATGACATGTTGGTCTACCGAAGTATTATAAATACCTCTCTAGTTGTAAAGACTTGGCATGGATTGAATAAAATTCTAGTTTCTCCTTTCTAGTCTCTATTCCTTTTCCTTCTTCTTTTCTAAAGACTCTACACCTACTCGAAAGTTGCCTTCCCTTCTCGATAAGGATCAAAAAATTTATCAATGATTGATTTATATCGTTCGAAGAACTTCTACTAAATCGGAGTATTTCATTTGCTTGATTGTTGAGGGCTGATTGAAGGAGTGTCAGTGTGGTTTTGTTTTTGAAAATAAAAAACCTAATGTGTTCTTGCAAAGAAGAATTGAAAATTGGCAAGTCGTGGTATCCGCGATGCAGTAATTGGCACCAGTTAGTGATGAAGTTTCTTGTTGGATCTTTGCAAGAAGAAGTTGGTTTCAACTTGCTGGTCTTGAATGATGCCAGGTTTCTTGATGTTGGGACTACTTATTGATGCTGATGCAATGTTTGAAGATGCAGGAAAACAGGTCTGATGAGCCGGAAGGGAGAAAACTGGTGGTGCATAGGTGCTGGAGTCTGAAACTGAAAAGAAAATGGCCCAAGAAAAGGCCGGTGAACTGTCGGTGGCGGCTGGCTGAGCCTTGTGGATGAATGAAGGTGGACTGTGTGAATGCAGATCCCGAGTGTAGGAGGGTTTCGGAGGTGTAAAGTTAGGCTCAACGAGAGCACCATTGATATGCTTCTTGATCTAGATCAAGAAGGCTTGGGCATCTTTCGGGTAGGTGTAGACTCGTCAGAGAAGAAAAATGAGAAGGGAATAGAGACAAGAAAGAGGGAAATCAGAATTTTATTCATTCCATGCCAAGCCGTTACAACTAGAGAGATATTTATATTACTAAGATAGACCAACATGTTACCAAAAAATCGGCCTATCTAAAACAAAGTCTAAACTAGTGCTTTGCATATTTATAGACCAATTGCTTTATGTTGGCAAAGAGATTGCTGATGTATAACACTAGCGATGGTGGTCGGTGGCGGTCAAGCAAGCTTATGTCAATGTAAACGGTTTTCGTTTATTTCAAAAATGAACTAAAATAATTTACTTTGCATTCCTCTGCACTCACAACTTCTAACCAAACAGCTCCTTAATAAGTTTATTTAACTTCAAACAATTAAATTGGCAATTCTTGAATTCCAAACAAAGATCATTGCATGGAATTGATTAAACACAATCAATGAGGTTACAGATTGAAATAGAAGAATCAGTGGGGAAGCTGAAATGTCCAGTTTGATTTGGATTTTGCTTAAATTGGGTTCGATTTATAGGTGGATTGTGCATTTTAAGGCTTCATGGAATTCATAACTCATTCAAAATCGGGTTGTATTTGAACTAATTTGAATTGTGTTATCACCATCTTGGTTTGTTATTCTTACACATGTTGATCCCAATGATGCTTGCCCTCAAGGAGCTTTTGTTATAAAATATTCTTCTTCTTAACATCTTCAATCTTGTCAATATCTACCTTGAACAAGCTCCTAGTACAAATTCTTCCTCTCCTCAACATGTTGATGATCACTTTTCCTCAGTGAGTTCCAATCATATAATCTTCTCCTTTACAAGCCATTAGTTCTATCAATGTTTGTCATAAGCATGCTCTAATTAATGCTTGCCCTCGATGAGCTTCTGTCGAGAACTCCTCCGCATGTTGCTGCTCATGACAAGCTCATGTTCGCCTTCAATCCCCAACGATCTTGTCAATGCTTCCTTTGAATAAGTTATTATTACAAACTTCTTTTCTTTCAAAAGCATGATTGGACTCGTTGATGCCTTCTCCATACAAGCTTCGTCTCTCACAAGAACATTGAATCGTGAAGGTGAAAATGGCGGTTTGACCGAGTTCGAATTCGAACTAGTTTAGAGTGACCTACAAGTCCAATGCATACTGAACTCTCAGATGCTTCACTTCAAATTTTCAGAAAGTGAGAATGTTTGGCTAATTACATTGTTATGAGATATATAAAAGCCAAGTTTCTCTTCGAGATGTGCAAGGAAGAGGATAAAATTCATTAATTTTTATCCTATTCAACTAAGGTCTAATAGTCATTTAATTTCAACCAATTAATATAGTTTATAAGTTCTCTCTTCGTTAAAATGAAATCTGACTACGGATAAACTTTTCTCCAAGAATCTCATTATTAGGATAGGTGTAAGAAATGAGCCAGTTTTTTTTTTTTTTTTTTTTTTTTTTTTTTTTTTTTTTTTTTTAATGAACATTTGAATTTTAAAGATAAAAATTATGTATTATATTATAGAATGCATCATTACCAGCAACAATAACTTAATTAATAACTTAATTTGTTACTAATGATACTGTGCATGTTTACAATCAAGCTCAATCATAAATCAATGTGTGGTCTTAAGACCAATAAAAAAATAATAATGAGCTTAAATACCTCCATTTTGTAAAAAAAGGGTTATTTCAAATACTACAATAACATCATCAAGCCTGTCCCATTACGTGAGGTCGGTTACATGAATTTTTTGTCTCCATTGTGTCTTGTTAAAAGTCAAATTCTCATTTAAATCTAATTAAAAAAGATCATTTTTAATATTTTCTAATTAAGTATTTTTAGATCTACCTTTATCTTTCTTAACATAAGTCAAATTTAATATCTCTACTTTCCTAATCGGGTCATCAGAAGACTGCCGTTTTATATGACCAAACCATCTAAGGCGACTCTCTCTAATCTTATCTTCCATTGGAGCTACTCCAATATTTTCATGTATATGCTTATTTCATATCCTATCTCTAAGGTAAAGCCACTCATCCATGTGAGCATCCTCATCTCTGCAACACTCAGTATAAATTTCATCAGTAGTTTTCATTTTGAATAGTAACCTACTGAATAGAAGATCTGCATATGTTTATTAGATTGCCAATTGTAAAGAAAAATTACAAAAATGCCATGGTTCCAAATAAATCGCCAGGTTGATCATGAGACATTATTCTTTCTCATTTTAAGGTTAAACAAGTTACAATCACATCAATTAAAATACAAAAATTCAACAAATGAAGCATAACAATACAAGATTAATCATCAACAATTTGGCTGGGATGTTACCTCTACTCTCTAAAATAGGATTAATTATTCTATGCGGATGCATAATGTCATCCGGAGACCAATCAGAACGCGCCACATCACCCATTAGCAGTGTACTGCGGCTCAATACCGCTCGGTACCGCTGATGTGGATGCACCTGATTCGCCTCCGGACGTATAGCTCCTTTCGGCCTCTACCCGGAATAATTTTTTCCTAAAATAGAAGTCTTAAGAGGGAAAATACTATGCAAGAGTAAACACAACAGAAGCCTCAGATTTTTTCATAAAAAAGAAAGAAAAATCAAAACATAGAAGCGTCGGAATTCTTGATTCTTAATTAGAAACTGAGGCGACCTCTGCTGCAGTCCCAGTAGCTCTTCTCTTGGCAAAATACTCTTCAGCACGAGCAAGGTTCTTTACTACTGATGGCTTCAGCCACTTCTTTCGACCAGGCAAGACAGTGAGGTTGCAACCAGCAGACACAAGCTTCTCTCTTGCCGCTGCTGAGAAGGATCGAGCCTTTATGCTCAGCTTGACAGACAAATCACCATCAGCTAGAATCTATCAGACAAGACCAAAAAAATTATGAGAAAAAAACCTCTGTTTATAATGCTTTCACATATGTTTGTAGGTAGGATGTTGCTTTAGGAGAAATTATTATGTACAGAGTCTAGACACAGCATGCTGTCAAGACACCAACCAAAATGCACCACGTCAGCAATACCGAACCGCGGTACTAAGCAATACAGAGCCGCGGTGCCAAGTAAATGGTTGACATGGCGCATTCTGGTTGGTCTCCGGACGGCATTCAGCATCTGCACAGAATAATTAACCATGCTGCTTTAGGGGCTTCATGCTGTGCTGGATTGTATATTAAGCATGTATTGATTTGTCTTTTCTTGGCTAATTTGTGTAGCTCTCTAACAACAATTTATTTTTTCTTTATAGAATTATGTGTGATTTGATCCTTAGGATTGAGGGATAAATAGACAAGTGGAAGTAAATTGAATCATAGCAATTGAACTCAAACTATGGAAGATGCAACCTTTTTGCACTTTAATATTTAGAAAAAACAAAAAGGTAAACAAAACAAGATAGGTGAATTGTAGTAGATGGCTTCAACCTGACAAATTGATCTTCAAAATGAAAGGTCAACAACATATTGCCTTATGCATTTGATGGAACAAACCTAAGATTGTAGCAAAATTGTCTTTGAATCGAGATGCATAAAACAGCAGGAAAAACAGGACAAAGCTGGCATTTAAGTAATTCGTCAGTGGAAAGATTTCTAAGTGATTTTCATTTGTTAAGTGGGTGATATAGATCACACTATCGACATTAGAGTACTTCAACCCTTCACTCACTAAATAACAACAGAAAGATACATTAACTGCGAAGATGGCCAAATTACTCAAGTTCAGAAATAATTATAGAAAGATTCCCTTCTTTACAGGACATCCAACTAGTAAAATATAGCCCCATTCCTTCTAGAACTAAATTACTCAAGTTTAGAACATAAAAACCTGTTGAATCTAAATATTGCGATGGCCAAAAGAAGAAAATGCATGAAATACTATTTTAAAGTGGATGAAGAAGTAAATAATAGCATGGTAAACTGACTGGAATGACCTTTCAATAATGATTGTTTGAATAATGGAACATAAAATTGATCAAAGTGTGTTATATGAATTCATATTTCCATAAAACAAAACACAGAAGGTAAGGAAATAATCTCAGATACCTTCAAAGGTAGGCTCCTTTCTCTGCCAGAGGGGTTGATCACGCCCTTCTTTTTTAATGATTCCAGTGATACTTCATCGCCCTCCTTGAAACCAGCAGCTTCAATGTCTTTCAAATTAACAGGAACAAATTTTGGTAATCCAGCATGCATGCCTAGGAGAAGATAGGCGTCAGATAAGGACATCACAGAGAGCCTAGTAAGAGGATATCTTCATGCTATATGATTTAATTAACAGTTCGAAACAATAACCCCTAAAAGTTTTCAAAATAATTAGAAGGCCAAAAATTTTCCAAACACCAATAGTTTCTGAAGTGAAATAAGATACCGCATATCGTCAAACAACTTCATAGCAGATTAGTATTTGAAAGAATACCCCCCCGCATTCTACAGGCCCAATCTATCAAAAGATAGCTTCTTTGAAACATTAGTTGCCTAGACCAAGCCAAATGATGACTCATATGGATAGCTTCTTTGAAACATTGAATTGTTTTCAAGAATCAAACAGATGTCCTCAAACAAAGTCACAATGTGAGCAACCTACCCATAACCATATCAAATTTTGCAAGTGACAAAACTGGTAATGTAATAAACACAATGTTGGCAAGTTCCTCTTATAGATAGTCAATGGATATCGCATACTGTTATGACCTTAACTGCAGTAACCAAAGATGTCATAACTTTCAAGTCTTTCAATCCCTTCGTACAAATAATTCAGTATGACAATACTGTATAACTGAAAGTCTTAACAGTGACTCACAGCACTCTTACAGTTTTAATAGGAACACCATTTCGTGCCTTAATCAGTATTCCAACGTTGACAACCAAGCTTTTAATCTCTTGTCATCCATAATTAAAGATTATTCAAAAGCACACGCTCAGATGGCTGTTGGTTTGGGATGTTCATTTGATTTCTGGCCTACACCTGGTTATCATAACAAATCCAAGTCACTTACTAAAGACAATTGTTGTATGTTATGAGAGAGATGGACAGCTTTCTTACTTCTTAAAGCGGCTTTCTGGTACAAAATTTTTATTTTTGTACTAGAAAGCCGCTTTAAGAAGCGGGAAGAAAGCCAGTCCCAAACGAAGCCTTAGTATGATAATGGTTGTAAGACAAGTGAATTTGTGATTCAGTTCTTAAGAGGGACTACTAAAACTCAAATTAGATTAAAGAAAGTCTAGTCAAAGATGGTTGTGACAGAAATAAGGCTACCGTGCAACTCTTGGTGCACCATTATTATGGCACCAGCGAGGTTGCTGCGTAGGTCATGAGAGAGATCACTTTGAACTTAATTTTAAATATACGCATATTTATTACAACTTTGTTTATATATTTTATTACAGAATGATTCATGCAAGAGTGAAATCAGGATTGAGCATAGATGGATTATACCAACATTGTCATAGTGGATAATGGGAGATGTGGGAACACTAACTTCTATTATGAGAGAATATATCTGGCATAATTCATCAGCAGTAGCAACAACAAATTGACATTCAACCTCAATAGAGGAATGAGTAATTGTACATTGTTTCCTAAAGGACTACAAGAGGGATTGTGACAAAGATACATAATGTAAGCACTAGTGGAGGTAAAGCTGTCATTATTGCATTCAATGAGAACCAGAAAACATATGTAGTGATACAAAGGCATCCTTATAAATTGAAAATTATAACCTAAGATTCCTCAAAAATATCATAATAGTCGCTAGAAGGCATGTCAATGCTCTAATGTTGCTTGTTTGATGAATTGTGAGAACTTGTTGATTGCAAAGATAATGTCAGGCCGTGTAAGGCATAAATACCAAAGGTTTGACAGAAGAAGCCCAGAAGAAGTAGGGGTGTACCTTTGACACCAATGAAGCAAAATAAAGGCCCAATATCCTTGAGGAAGAATAATTTGATCAGTGCTCTGATACCGTATAGGATTTCAGAAATACCAGCTCGATCTTTCTATTGCATTATTGAGATTATATATAATTGTCCAAAACTTCAAAAGGGAGGATTCCCAATCCTAAATTCAACTAATGTAAAAAGATTATAGGTCGAAAAATATGGTAGAAAACTAAATATAGGAACCAGAATAATCACATAGATGATATATTTCCTATAATAATAAGAAAGCTTGCAGAAAAAGTTTGTTGACAGCTCACAGCTTCAGTAAAAAATTCAAACCTCCAGCAATTCCGCGAAGCTTAGGAATCCGCCGGTAGAGGGGCATCTGCCCACCCTCGAAACCCTTCCGCACCCCGGGACCAGACCTGGACTTCTGCCCCCTCATGCCAAACCCACAACTATTCCCCTGCCCGGCCGCGATACCCCGTCCCTTCCTCTTGCTCCTCTTCCTTGATCCCGGCTGAGGTCCTAGATTGTTCAGCCGAAACCTCGCAGGCGAAGTTGATGAAGCGGCCTCCAGCTCAGAGATAGATGCGGCCCGGCAACGGATTAAAGGCTTCACCGGCGAGAAGGATGAAAGAGACTGAACTCGTGCTCCATAGAAAGAGAATAGGGATGAACCACTTGGCCAGAGGCGATCGAAATTTCCCTACGAGACGGAGAAGAAAGAGAAAAAAGATACTGAGATAGCGAAGAGAAAAGCAAGAAATACTTGTAGGGCGTACCTTGAAGGGCGACGCCGTGAGTCGGAGAAATGGCGAGGAGGAGAGGCATGTGGCCATCAGAGCTAAGGAATTACAGTGTTCCGGCCAGTGGAGAAGTCCTCTTCTGGATAGGCTTCTACTTTAAGTGAGAGCTTAGCTCAGGGCGCAACGAATTCTTGTGAGCATTAAGCTAAGGCTTAAGATTTAAGATTTGTTTGGGAAGGCTTTTTATTGTTTTTTAAAATTAAATTTTAGTTAAAATTAAATTTTTTTTAACTAGAATTTAGTTTTAAGGATCAATAAAAAAGTCATCCAAAATGGAGCTTTAGATTTCTTTTGAAAAAAATTTCTTAATGTTTTTTAAAGCTATTTTTTTAGTATAAAATTTTATTTTTTCACTAAAAAATTACTTTAAAAATCAATAAAAAATTAGTCCCTAATCAAGCTTTATTAGTTTGTACATTTTTTTTTCTAAAATCCTTTTAGTACAATTTTTTTTTAATTTCTAAAAAAACTATACTAAAAAATAATTTTAGATAATAATAAAAAATTTGTATTATTTTTTAAATTGAGATCGATATAAAGTGCATGTCTTTAGACACATTTTCTAACTGAGCCAACTGAAAAAAATGACTCTAAGACCTCCAAAATTGAGTTTTTATTTATCTCTCCTCTCTTTTTTCCTCTTTTTTTCCCTTACATGTTCTATGTTTGGGCGAAAAACAAAAAAAACAAAGCTTTTATAAAATTACATAATATTGGGTTACGATATTATAATAAAATATCAAATAATTATTCTAATTATTTAATTTTGCATAAAATTCATCTATTTTTTATATATTTAAATCTGGTAATTCAAAAATATTTCTAAATTAGCTAAGCATGTCCAAAACACTATGGTGAAATTAATTTGCAAAACCGTCACGTTAAGATCCAAAAATTCTCACTTGTATCGACAAGTGTCAATTTTCTGAAAGAAATCTACTGGTGCCCAAAAATTATGAAAAACTTTATGAAACTAAAACATAATAATATTTATACTATGGCAAAGACGGTTTGTGATTTAAACTTATAAGACTCATAAAATAATTTTAAACTGTTATAAATAAAAATATCTCTTTAAAAGAAATTAAAGGTTATCACAACTTGTTCTCTAGATTTTGAAGCAGCATTTCACGAGCAAGAGGCAAGCAAGTAGACAGGAGGGCTGCGGACTATTGCTTGCTGGGGAAATTATCAGAAAATCAGCAAGGAAAGTTAAAGAGAAGGGAAACGAGAGTTATAAGCAAGGTTGTGAAAACGGGACTGGACAACGAATCGGAAGAATTAGAGGTTCATGGTTCGACCAGTTGAACCGGGGTCGAACCGGATGACGTAATAAATAATAATATAATTAAAATAAATAAAATTAACATAATAATAATGACAATTTTTTCATAAAAATTTTATAATTCTAAGAATTTTTAGACTAAAAAATAAATAGAATTCATACATATATACTTTCTAACTCCGGTCTCCTGCCGACCACGGTCCTTCAGGCCAAACAAACCTGTATATGTAACTTTTACCATGTAATGCAATCTATATGATGTATATTTGCTACATCAATCCAAGGCCTTCTCCCAAGGAAGGGCCTCATTTGTAATCTGCTGTAAATACTAGTGGATTCATTCAAACTGGGCTAGGCCCCGTGGTTTTTCCCCCCTTTTCAGGGGTTTTCCACGTAAAAACTTTGGTGTCTCTTATGAACGCTACACCCTCTCACTTATCTGATTGTGTGCTGGATCTTCGTACAACGCTAAGACGTTAAACTATATATTTCTCTACCGCCGCGAATATTCCAGGACGCAACAGTTATGTATTTTATTGAGCTTTAGCTCATTCGAACTGGTTGTAATATAGGAAAGGGAATGAGTCAGTAGGGCTCTAGGTAGGAGGTTAATTGTACTTTTTGTGGACATATATTTTCATTGTCCGTATAATCAGAGTGGGAAGTTTGTACAGTCAATCTTTTTGGTATGTAAATTTAATTTGACAAGTTTAATAAGCTTTATATTTTATTTGATAAGTTATGAATATGCTTCTATTTATGAATTACGTAGAACAATTGTTAAAATTGATAAAAAAAATAATGCAATATTGCTAAGATAGTCTAAATAGATCATTTTCTACTATCTCAATTCTGACAGAAGCAAACAAAAGCAAAAGAAAAATCAATTTCATGTTCTTTAAGAGTCGCTAAAGAAGCTTCCTTGCCATTATAACTCTTACCAATTCTCTTGCCATTAAACAACAATATGAGATTTTAACTTTTAAGCTTCCTATCTCTCCATATCTTTCTCTTTATATCGCTTTTAATACTTGAAATTATGATTTTCTTGGGGATACGAGTTGGACATTATAACACTTTTCTATTATAATTTATTTTAATATAAATTGATTAATTAATTTAAATAGTAAATTTTGCACACTTATTCTTTAGTTATTGAAATTTTTTAGTTGATCTTAAATTTAATTTGAAATATTTTATAAAAAGAAAGATCATTTTTTTATTATTACTCATGCATAAGATGAAAAATCTATTTATAAATGTGAATTTTTAGCATGAATATATTGAATTAAATAGTTTAATAATCAAATTAAAAGGGCCTTTTCTTTTTTACAATTAAAAAACTCGTATTAATCTTAAAATTAAGTTTAAATATTTTATGCTATTTAAAGTTTAGAGCATTGTTTTAGTAAATACTATAGTTTGAGTGTTATAGAATTACTCAATGAATAACTTTGTGTGCAATGTATGTAAATCATCCTATTAATTGTTGATGGATCTATATAAATGCCAAACTTATATAATACGTAAATTTTAATATATATTAATAAAACATCAAAAATTTTAAGTCGCATAAAAATGTTATTAACAATAATTTTTTGAAGGGAAATAAGCCTTTTCTTCTATATGTTTATATATATTTAAATTTTTATGTTAGATATATAAATACATATATAACATATAGTATATGCCACAACTTAACCCGATAAGACCCACAAATTGGATCGATCCTATCGTGTTAGCTTTCAACAAGCAAACCCTAGGATCTAAGTTTTAAAAATTTTATAGATTTCTCATCCAATACAAACTTTAAAATAAATATCAAATCATTGAGAACTAATAACATCCAACATACTAAAAAAAATTCAACCAAATTTTTTTTTCATTTCATCATAATAAAATCTATATACAATGATTATATTACAACACATGATTACATACAAGATTATATAGTAGAGTACTAAGTGGTTATGATCGTTCAAAATATCGAAAGAATGAGATATTTATACAGATCATATCATATTCTCACTCAAGTACTCAATTGGCTCTTTCCCTTTCCCAGATCTTGAAAAATAGAAGGCAAAGTATTTATGAGCTAACCGGCTCAACAGACTACACATTTATCAGTCTAAATTTTCAAATCATATCATTTATTAAATATATAACTAAGTTTTAAAAGCATTTCATAATAATCGTTGCACTTAACAAAACTATAATTGTAGTTATTATAATCTTAAGCATGAAAAAAAAATAAACAAGTACTTCATATATTAGAACAGAAAGTAACATATTTTATCAGATTCTTATAACTCCCATAAAAAAATATCAGAATTAAGACTCTTATGACTTCCTATACTAGCATAAAAAATAGTCCCTTATAACTCCAAATGCTTATCAGCTAGCATATATTCAAAAATTCAGACTCTTATGACTCCATATACATTCAATCAACACTAAAACTATAACCATAAATCAGAACCTCCTTTGAATTACCCATTTTGATCCAATAAATACATAATTCATTGCATTGCAGAAAATAAAGTATAAATAAACTCATTTCATGACTTTACATAATTTTATAATAGTATGCATCAATAATACACAACTGTATAGAAATTTATTATTTTATAACATAACTAAATTCTTGGGGATTGTGTAGAATACTATTTTAAGACTTTAATTATACTGCAATATTATTTGTTGGGTTCATGGTTATCTTCTAAAAGATTAGAAATGTGCAGGTTTTAAACCTCGAGGTGTAATTTTTTTTTGAAAAATGCCTAAGTATTCAGAATCATTGTCTCTATAACATACATAAAACTACCCGGTGAAAATTTTGCATGTGAAAAGTTATCCTCACTTTTTTATTACAGAAGTATAAATTAAATAAAAAAAAGTGAGAAATTATTACATTTTATGAGTTAATTAAAATGTAACATATTTTGATTCGAACAATTTTTAGAGTAGGGCCGTCAATTGAAAATGACCCGAAGTAGCTCAAAATTAGCTTTCCCTCTCTAAAATCCTCCTATATCTCTCTATAGCTAGAAGGGAAATGAAATAAATGAAATAGTGGATTTGGATATTTTTTATTATTAAAATTTGGCCCAATGCCACGACGCCAAACACGTGCTTCTTTCAGGAACCTACTATAAGCCTGTAACACTCTTGAGTCAAATTTGAAAAAAAAAAATTATCTATTTTATTTTTTTAATTAATTAACCAAAGCTTCTATAAATCATTAAAATACTATATATAGTGAAAATAATTAATAATTACATACCTTAAAATATTAACTATATTCATTCTCCCAAAATCAATATACAATAGCAGAAGATCAACACAAATATTACTATATCAGAAAATATAAGTAAATAAGAGAAAATATAAATAAATTGAAAAGAAAACCTAAGGATCTCTATTAATCTCCAAATGGTCCCAATCCACTTGAAGCAAAAAAAAATCACATAATGAGTATAAAAACCCAACAAGTAATCAAAACTCTATCACTTATTTCAATGCAAAACAAAAGAATCAATATACATTTCAATTTTCAATATCAATTATCACTTGATACGAGTAATATAAATCTAAAAAATCAATAATAAAGTAAAATATGATCAGTAAAGTCAAAAGAGATCTATCAACCATCGAACTAAAAGAAAAATCAGTAAAGATGACTATCACTTAATAAACCATGTTAATATATTATGATATATTGTATCAATATTAATGCTAGTATGAGTTTAGTTATATCTATCAATCAATTTGATGTACTACAAAGTAATATCATCATGAATATAATTATGAAAAGCAAGGCA